AACTTATCAGTTCAGGGAAAGAGAAACTGAAGTGTAGTTGAGCTGTTGTGTGTTGTGTTTCTGTATTAATGCAGTAAAATGGCAGAAGCCAGATTTTCTCAGGATGAGTTCTTGTGTGCAGTGTGTCTGGATCTCCTGAAGGATCCCGTGGCCATTCCCTGTGGACACAGTTACTGTAAGAGCTGTATTACAGGCTGCTGGGATCAGGAGGATCAGATGAGAGTCTACAGCTACCCTCAGTGCCGACAGACCTTCAGTGCAAGACCTGCTTTATCTAGAAACACCATGCTGGCTGATCTGGCGGAGAAACTGAAGGAGACCAAACTTACTGCTGACTGTTACGCTGGAGCTGGAGATGTGCAGTGTGACGTCTGTACTGGAAGAAAATACAAAGCCGTCAAGTCCTGTCTGGTGTGTCTGGAATCTTACTGTCAAACTCATTTTGACCGTCATGAGGAATTTCATTCACGTAAGCCACACAAAGTGATCGATGCCACTGGACGACTGCAGGAGATGATCTGCCAGAAACATGAGAAACATCTGGAGATGTACTGTATTACTGACCAACAATGCATTTGTGAGCTGTGTACAATATATGAACATAAAAACCATGACACTGTATCAGCTGCAGCACAGAGGACAGAGAAACAGGTTTTTAAAATTAGTGCTTACACTTGTAGTGTGAAACAAGTTTTAATCTTCATGTTAATTCATGTACAATAGTGGTAAACACTCAATCATCCTTTCTGGAGTTTACAGTCGTTAGTTATCAGTTCCACTTTTACTGGATTCATCTGTTCACATGATGATTTAGTGCCAGTAGTTTTCTGTGAGATTTACTATCATCTGTTTGTCCTGCAGAATCTGCTGAAGGAGACGCAGAATACGTTCCAGCAGAGAATCCAGCAGAGAGAGAAAGATCTTCAGCAGCTGAGAGAGGCTGTGGAGTCTCATAAGGTGAGTCTGGAGAAGAAGAGACGTTTGTCTCAGTCTCTGTTCAGACTCACTGAAGCCTGAATCACTGTGTGTTCTAACAGCGCTCTGCACAGACAGCAGTGGAGGACAGTGAGCAGAGGATCTTTACTAAGCTCAACTGCTCCATTGAGAGAAGCTGCTTTGAGCTGATGTGGCTCCTGATTCCTGATATCAGAGTACAGGAAAAGGCTGCAGTGAGTCGAGCTGAAGGACGACTGGAGCGACTGGAGAAGAAGATCAATGATCTGAGGAGGAGAGACGCTGAGCTGAAGCAGCTTTCACACACACAGGATGACATCCAGTTCCTGCAGGTAACAGAGATCTAGAAGAACAGGATCATAGTGGACTTTAGCCAGATTCTGCAGGAGACTCACAGAGAAACATTTCATGAGTGTCTTTCTATCATAATAAATAATCAGATAGACTCATCTGATCATCTTCTTTTGAAAAGAGGCGCCGCTTACAAATGGCTTTCTGTTCTGAAAATCTCTTTGGAATCATTTATCTGAGCTCTTTCTTCTGGAAGGTATATTTAGCTGTCAAACACCACTAGCACCACCAACAGTTCAAAACTTCACTAACTTTTCAACTTAAAAAAAAAAATTGGAACCGGTGATCTTCAAAGCTGATAAAACAAATGTTTATTTGCCTGCATAATACATTTGACAATGAAGAACCCAAACATGAAGTGATGCTGTATATTAGCAATCAGTCCCACAAGGATTTCAGAATAAAATTCAAGGTGCTGCAAATAATTTGTTTTTAGCTGAAACTGTGTTCCTTGGTGATATTGTTACAGGCAGTGTGACAACAGAGTAGTGGATCCAAGTGCAAGCTTTATTAAAGAGCTAAACAAGACAGCAATGTGTGTGTGCAATCTAAATAGTCCTCCTAATGGGAAACAGATGTGTCCATAATCATTTCCTAGGCTGGGGTTTCTGGGAAATGGAGTCCGAGATGAGAAGGTGAAGGTAAGGGATGGAGATTCCTCTAGAGGAGCTCATGGGCACTCCAGCTGGAGATCGTGAAAGAGTCCTCCCCCCTTAAGAAGCGGCTTCCAGACGCTCCCCAAAAGTCACAGAAATCCAGGAGGAAGGCGGAGTGGAGGTGGAACAGGGGGAGGGATGGAGGGCGAGGTCCCTATGGAGGTGGAGGACCTGGAGACTGAGGCAGAGTCTGCTAAGCGGGCGGAGCCGAAGACCACCAGAGCGGAGCTGAGGACCAAAAGGGTGGAGCAACAGGGAAGAGCTGAGGACCACCACAGCTGAGCAGATGGGGCCGAAGATCCCCACGGTGGAGCTGATGACCACCAGGGTGGAACTGATGGTGCTGAGGACCACTCTGCAGCCGTAACAGGACACGCAGACAGTTCAAAGAAGGCATCTTTGGCCGTAACAGGACAGGCTGAGAGTTCAGAGACGGCCTCCTTGGCCATGACAGGACAGGCGAAGACTTCAGAGACAGCCTCCTTGTCTAGGACAGGACAGGCTGAGAGATCAGAGACGGCCTCCTTGGCCATGACAGGACAGGCGAAGACATCAGAGACGGCCTCCTTGGCCGGGACAGGACAGGCTGAGAGATCAGAGACGGCCTCCTTGGCCATGACAGGACAGGCGAAGACATCAGAGACGGCCTCCTTGGCCGGGACAGGACAGGCTGAGAGATCAGAGACGGCCTCCTTGGCCATGACAGGACAGGCGAAGACATCAGAGACGGCCTCCTTGGCCGGGACAGGACAGGCTGAGAGATCAGAGACGGCCTCCTTGGCCATGACAGGACAGGCGAAGACTTCAGAGACGGCCTCCTTGGCCGGGACAGGACAGGCTGAGAGCTCAGAGACGGCCTCCTTAGCCATGACAGGACAGGCGAAGACTTCAGAGACGTCCTACTTGACCATGACAGGACAGGCGAAGACTTCAGAGATGGCCTCCTTGGCTGTAACAGGACAAGCGAATAGTTCAGAGACGGCCTCTTTGGCCGGGACAGGACAGGCTGAAAGATCAGAGATGGCCTCCTTGGCCGGGACAGCACAAGCAGAGAGTTCAGAGACGGCCTTCTTGGCCGTAACAGGACAGATGGAGAGTTCAGAGATGGCCTCCTTGGCCGGGACAGGACAGGCGAAGACTTCAGAGATGGCCTCCTTGGCCGGGAGAGGACAGGCTAAGAGTTCAGAAGTGGGCGCCACCGCCCAGAGAGGAGCTGAAGTAGACGCCTTCGACTCGGGAGGAGCTGGAGCAGACTCATGGACTGGAGCGGGCTCCGGACCAGACCCACAGACCGGAGCGGGTTCTGAAGCGGATTCCTGGACTGGAGCAGGCTCAGGAGGAGTAGTAGAGCAGTGTGTACCCCAAACACACAGGATGGCCATTACAGGGAGCACTGAGGATAGGGGAACAGTTTCTATGACAGCCAAGACTGTGGTGGGACATCCATGACGGCTGGAAACTCTGGCATGACAGCCATCTTGGGAAGAGACTCTGGGCTGGCGGCCATCTTGTGAAGGGACTTTGGAGGGGTGGCCATGACAGGATGAGGCTCTGGAATGGCGGCCATTTTATGAACTGGCTCAGGTGCAGGGACCAAAAGACAAGAAGGTACTAAAAACACTGGAGTGGCGAGCATAATAACATGGTGGTGATCTTGATGAGCCAATCTCCGTGGCCACCGGAGCTTGGTGTGTCCTGCCCCCCACCCCCCAAAAAAATGTTTAGGGGAAACATCATCCTCAACAGCCCTCACAATGAAGGAGGAACCACATAACAGCAGGGCATAATCCAGAAACTGACAAAGTGACCCTCGAGGACCATCATGAGTGAGTATTGACTTCAATGGTTTATTATGTCCATTTACAGAAAAAGTCAATGAGTGCAAAGTCCGGGAGATCAGAGAAATATGCAATGTCCAGAAAGTCTTGAATGCAGTCCTCGAGGGAATGCATTCCCTGACGGAGGCATACTAACCTGATTGCTGGGTCCATGATTGGCCTGGAAACAATCAAATAGCTGCTGAATCCGGGAATGGCTGAGTCTTCTGTTACGGGTGGCGTGACAATGGAGTAGGAATGGGGTGAGAAGGTGAAAGTAAGGGATGGAGTGCCCTCTAGAGGAGCTCATGGGCACTCCAGCTGGAGATTGTGACAGATATAATACAAGTCAGCGGCTGCATGTTTTTGACAATAAAATAAAGCAAATCAGGAAACACAAAATGAAGTGGCTCCTGACAATATATTGAGGTCTTATGAAGTGAAACAATCTGTCTGTACAAGAAACCAAACATAATTTACAACATAAAAACACTAATTTCTTCCCTTCATTCAAGTGTTTGGTTCACGCATGCACATATCAGCGACTCATCGGTCTTTGGTCCGAATCGAACTGTTTCCTCAGTTCAGTGACTGTTGGCGGAACTGAAGCGCTGAATGAGTTCACAGGTTATTAATTTTATGTTCCTTGATATACTTTTTTATTCTAAAAGATGGGAAGCCGCTGTCTTGCATTTTCTGAATCACCAAGGTCCATGGTTTCAGCTAAAAATCTTTTTTACTGTTCTACTGAAAAAAAAAAGTTACCTACATCTAGGATGGCCTGAAGGTGAGTAAATTAACAGAAAATTTCTGTTTTGGGGTGAACTATGCCTTTAAGCATTTTTCAGTCACTCCAGAATTTCAAAATTGCCAAATTTAATGCAAACTCAAATACTGCATTATTTGTGGCACCTTGCATTTTTGACTGAAATCCTGATGAGTCTGATTGCTAATATACAGGGTCATGTTTGTGAAGTTTCGGTGTCTTTAACTGCTCTAAAGTTGCAAATAATAGTCAAACTAATCGTAGCCTTTGAGCTGCTTTTCCTGATCAAATCTACTCAACCCTACAACGAGACTCCATTGATGTGCTTAACATTTATGCTCTTAGCAGATGTTTTATCATCTACAATATTTTCTAGAAAGTTCACATATAGTGTAAGTGGCAAATACTAGAATCTGTAGCTCTAATGTGATATAATGAATATGAGAAGAATGAAGCTGATGCTGTGAAAGTGCTGGATTGAGGTGA